TTATCAGAGACTAACTAAGACTCCATGAAGATGTAAATGACTTGAGAAGCTGATGTCTTCTACCAAACTTGTGTTTACTCTCAATAATATCAGCGCCAAAATAGCTATTTCAATGGGATCATCAGCAGTCCTGACTCACCTCGTGATGGTTCCTCCTGTCCCCTCAACCTGGAAGCCAGCTCCTTAGTGACTTCAAGGTGATGGAGAACCCAGCACACCAGGGCTGCGGTGAATGCTTCAGCAAGTCAGAGAATCGCACTTCATGGCTCTCTAACCCTTCAGTCTTTGCTGTTATCTGTTCAAATAGCAACCTTTTTGTCTTAATGTACTGATTAAATGAATCCGTTTCCAGACCTCTGACTTTAAACAACAGTTCTTCTGGAATTCCTATATGCGGATTACTTGATACGTTCAGTAAACAGTGTGACTCCTGCTTCCGCTTTGATTGCAATAATTTCCATATCCATATTAATATTTCCCTATGTATATCCCTGGCAACTTTATTTCTGACTCATCCATCCTTGTCATCTGCTACTGCTTCTGCCCTATCCCATGATATCAATTCTTACTCCTAATCAATCTTGTCTAAGCATACATCACCCTAATGGTATATAAGTCCTCAGCAGAGCACTTTAAAGAATATATGCACAGTCTTGTTATTTATTTGAGCTGCTGTGATGTCCTTGCAGTACTGCCTAACATCATGCTTACCAAACTTGAGGGCAAGCTCTTATTTAGTTTTGGGTCACAAGAATAAGTTAGCTTCACTTTTGGAAATTATCATCACCACAGTTCTGCATTTTTCATGAGTAGCTAGTTATTTATTTGAGCAGTTAGGTGTGAAGCTAACCTGTTTTTCTCCTGGTTAGCACACAAGTTCTGGGTACTTTTTGTAGTGTTCACATAAAAGCTCTTTCAAGCTCAGCGATTCCTCTCCACGTGTTGGGAATGAATCATACCTGATGATCTTGCATTGTCCATGGTGTGTCCCATCTTCCAACTTCAGCTCTCTAGGACAACCAAAGCCCTTCCAAAGCTGTTTTGTGGTCTTCCCCTTTTCTCTTCCAGGTCACAGAGTAGGCATAAATGGTTCTTGTTAGAGTATCACTCAGAATTAACAAATGTCCCACAGTTTTTGTTTCTGGTCATCCTGATTGTCTTGACAATTCTTGGGCCTTCATCACCAGAAACTTACTCACCAACATAGTATTGTTTTCTCCTGTGTCTTTATAAGAGAAAAGAGGTGTGAGGAAAGGCTTACCCCCCCTAAAACATCCCATATTCCTGTTTGCTAGCTAATCTACCTGTTGTCCTTTGAGTCCACCTATTATTATATGTATATGGTATCATTATATATAATTAGTATTTTCATTTTCCTGCAGATCGTGCTTTGCATTCAGTAACTGCACTTTGGAAGAATATTACGATGAAGTAGTAAGAAAAAATCTACCTTGTCTACTCAACATACCGTCTCTGAAACCATTTCTCTCCGATCACTGTGGCAATGGTGTCTTGGAAAAAGAGGAAGAATGTGATTGTGGCAGTGATGAGGTTAGTAATTACATATTTCACTGCAATCTACATTGCACAAGTGTTATTAAAATCCTCGTGTTTTCTCAACCTTAAAAGCTCACTGAGTCATGGGAAGGAGCGATCACTGAAGTGCCACACCTTCAGATGAGCTCAGTGGCTTTCGCTTTTGTTGACTCCTCTGAAATGGGGGTTTACCCAAATATGGCACTATTTGTGTCCAAAATACATATTATTTGCACAAATGTATGCAGAGCATATCTGGAGGTAAAGTCAGGGTTTTTTTCCATAACTACAGAGAGACCTTTCGGAGCAGACTCTAAGCAGACCGACTGGTGAGTTCATGCTGGAGATACTCTGTTTTCAAGTATCCGATAAGGAATCATTCAGGCATAGAAGAACAGCTCCCTTGCTAGCACAGAAACAAGATCTCCCCACACCTTGCCCAAATTGAAAGGTGATTTTCCTCTGATTGTGCTAATGCTCATAGGAATGTAGGGTTTGAAGAAAATAAAAGTATTTGAGAAGTGCTGCAGTCAAAGCAGGAGACTCCAGAGAAGAGATATGTCTTTGCTGACAAGCAGCTCTACCTATAGACAAATTATTGCCACTCACTATATTTCCATCTTCTGGTCTAGTTATTCCATTTCTTTTCTTTCTTCTATTATATTTATCCTAAAGTCAGTGGAAGAGTTTTGTAAGAGTGCTTTTAAGAGCATTCTTACATGTTTTTATCTTCACAGCTATAATTCTAGGAACCATGCAGCTATGACGCTCAAGAACGTTTGAATTTCCCAGTAGGAATTCTTGTTTGCATTTTGCATAATCGTTATTGTGCAAAGCTGTTTGTAACTTTGTCAAAATGTAGCCTTTGCACTGATGTTTCCCACGTGAGAGATTTGCACAAGTATGATATCCAGGCTTGACTTGAACATCCTTCACCTTGCTGGTAAAAAGGATTCAAGCGTTTTTAAAAACTATGTTAGGAAAAAGTATATAGCCTTCAGCCCCCCAGGTCTCTCTGACAGCTGGTGCCCTGACTTCTCTTTGTTGGCTAGTCCAGCCTCAAGTTTGTTAGTGGCTCATGCACATACACACACACACACCAAATTGTGAGCACGCTCATACAGAAAAAAGTTAGGAACAGAGTTTAATAAGAAGACAGGACAGACTGCAGTGCTCAGGCGCACAGCTCAACCACCCAAGGTGCACTGTCCAGGAGCTTGCTTACACGCGGCCGGCCCCTTTTACGTCCTCCTCACTATTTTCCCTTGCTTGTTCCTCCTCAATCCACCTCAATCTGTCCCTTTCCCTGCCTTTAGTCCTTTTCCTAAGCATCCCATAAAAACCTTTGTACATCCCCAAAATCCCCTTAAAACAACGCACAATAAGTTTTACACAGTCCTACATTGCCTGTCAAACACCGCAAAGTAAGTTTGGTCTTTCCAGGAAACCCATGATAATCTTGTTTCCTCCATTCTTATTAGTTGCCAAGTTCTGGCTGAACCTCCTCCAGGCTACGCTGGAGTAGTTCCTGCAATGGCCCATCCATCAGTGTCCTGAGAGCTCTGGTCTTTGCTGTCTCCATTATCTTCTGTTTGTTAGGGTTTCTGCATTTGTGTGATGAATTTATTACTGTTCCTGTCTCTTGTCGTTGACTTTCGTGCTGAAAAGCCATTAACCAGCTATCCTTATAAAACAGATATCCTTCCGTTTCCAGGTATCCTTAAAATTTTAGTCATTACTTTTGCCCACGCGACAAAGTTCAGAGTCCATCAGCTCTAATACTTGAACGATTTGGGATTAGGAACGTCAAAAAATGGTGGATTACTGCTGAAAGAACTGGAGAGTTAAAAGGGGGAAAGAAGGAAAGTAGGAAAGAAGGCAGAAATGACAGAAGGAGAGATTAATCTCTTCTGTTGTGCTCAAAATGATTTGTAAGTCCTTTGGAAACACTAATTAACCTATTCTAAGAGCACCACTGTGAAGCTGGTAGGCTGGCTGATTAGCAGAGAATATGAGATGGAAGCAGTAGTCCTGAGAGCAAAAAGAACTGTTCTAACGGTGTCTACTGTATTTGAATGCCTAACCACGAACATCCAAAGCCTGATTGTTTCACTGATGGTGGGCACTTGATGCCCAAAACATCCTGGACAATGAAGACACAGGGGTCAGAAGCTGAGCACTTGGGAAGCAAACAGCTAGTGAATCGGCATTTCTACAGCTCTCAAGTGAAGTCACTTGGCACTATCACATGCGAAATCTGTGTTGAAGTCCTACATTAAGTATATTCTAGAGCACAGGTAACTACCAACAGGAATCCTGGGTTAAGGTTTACTACACACATGCCATGAGTATTTCCCTTTGTTTTAGAACTCCCAGAAGAAAAAAGACTAATGGTGGAATTTGAAGAGTGACAGAAAATGGCAGATTTTTTCCCCTTAATCTCCTTTAATTCCATGTTTCTTGATCTAAATAAAAATCTTCAGGGAAGACTATCCCAATAAGAAACTCTAATACTGAGGTGGTATGGCATTATTTACTTCCAGGCATGCCTCCGAGAAGGTTGCTGCCTCTCCTCCACCTGCTTACTTGCACACGGGGCTTCTTGTTATAGAGGAGAATGTTGTCACAAATGTCAGGTAAGTTATAACTCAAACAACTGCTGTTGGCTTTGTAATGCAGGGTAAACTAAGGATCTAATTACTTTTCAAAGCTATCAGTTAGGTGCTCTAATGCTTACTGTCCCCTTGTTTACTGTTCCTTTACGCCCTCCAATCATTGCTTTGTCAGATTTTTTGTAAATTCAATTTGTTGTTCTTTGTCATAGACTTTTGGCGGCATTCCCTAAAATTTTGCCGTGTAGGTGTCAGTAATTTGGGCTAGCCCTTCCGAAAATACTTCCATTCAAAACTTGTTTTGTGGATTATTTTTTTTTCCGCATAGTTTCAGCCAGCAGGAAAACTATGCAGAGAAGTCAGGAACATATGTGATCTTCCAGAGTACTGTAATGGAACTTCGGACGCCTGCCCCATAGACGTATTTAAGCAAGATGGAACCCCATGTAGTGACCACGACCGCTGCTATGAAGGGGACTGCCACAACCACGAGACACAATGCAAAGCTTTATTTGGCAAAGGCAAGCTATGCTATCCTTAGAACTGCCATACCATCTGATTTGGAGTTAGCTCTCTCCTTAAGATAACAATTAGTCAGGTCTCGCCTCTCACCACCTCTTCTTCCTCTGCTTTGGAAAAGTCTCGTTTTTCCACAGTCACTGAAGACTCACTGCTTACACTTTGTAAGGCAGTGAATCTTACCTGTCTGGACCGGCTAATCAGAATAAAAGTACTTGCGTAATAAATGCTACAAATACTTTTAAAATACCCAATGATTTTATAACAATAGTTATATAACAATATATAAAAAGAGCAATGTATATATATATATAATATATATAATATAACATATGTATGAATAATAGGGTAATAAAAAAGGGGTTTTCTGTGGCAGTAGCAGTTGCTGCAGTGCGGTTCAGGAAGATCTGGTTCCCAATGTGCGTATGCCTCACGCATGGACCTCTGGGCAGCACTGGGGCTGCTCTGTGCCCTGCATATCCCTCCATGCCCATCCTCAAAGGCGTAAAAGGGAATAGCAGGCTTGGCCACCCTCATCCAATTGCCAATACAGTGTCCCAGAAATAAATGTGTGCTGGAGACAGTCTCTGGGCCATTGAGATCAGTCTCACGCCTTTGAAAGCAACAACATCATATAGTTTGCGCATCTAGATTTCTCCCTGCTCATACTGCAAGCACGGAAGTGATTTTTCTATGTCTTCTTTGAAGTTATTTCAACTCTGTAAGAAATACCAAACTTCCCCACTACAGGTGTCCTTAAGCTGTGGAGTGGAAGAGTGGAATTATTCTGATTGCAGTAACGCCCATCAGGATTTCAGTCTTAGGTCTCTTTAAGACCATGTGAAAGTCAAGTAAAAGTAAAACAAACCACTTTCAAGTCAAGTAAAAATAAAGTAAAACCACTTTTCTCTGTGTTCCATCACATTTATGAAAAGTTTGGACTCCTTGGAAACCCATAATCTTTGCACATGAAGATGGCAGCATTTGTCATGAAAGTCCTTGCTAAAAAAGGCAGGAATATTGATAAGGTAGAATATTTTTATCCTCATTTTGACAAAGAACACTTAAGAAACTGTCACATGAACATTCACTTGGTGCTGACGTGGCCAAGACACTGATCTCAGGCATCTCTGCAGGCTGACTCTGAAATCTGGCTGTTAGTTTTACTCTGAAAACATTATTCTGGCTACTTGAAAATTTGTAAGAAAGCCTGATGGAGTCATGCATTGACCACAGGCTCTTCATCTTTTCGCTTGGTGTTCTGTTACTCTTACACAGCACCCAGTAAATATAAAGATGTTCTGAAAAATCTGGGAGTTCCCTAGGATAGAAATAGTTCTGCCTTACCGAAATCTGAACCTGTGAGCTGTTTTTGCTGTCTGACAAGAATTAGCACTGTTAAAATCAAATATAACGGTGGTGATTCCGGATTCAGGAGAAATGTAAGAGATGCTGACTTGTGCTAAATAGCAGGTTAGAATTATAGAAAAAGAACAGGTTTGGAGGTCTGCAATCTAATTTTCTGCTCCAGGTTGTTCTGGATAAATACCATGGTCCATTCTGACCTGATAATTAGTTGATCTCTTGGTAGCAAATCTGTTCATTTAGTCACTTCACTCTCTCTTTTATTTCAATTTGAAATGGAAGGAGTGACTTGAGACTTGGAAATTGTTTCTGTAAAGTTTCTACAGTTCTTTAGAACTTGATGTCAGAAAGATCACAAAAATAAGCAAAAGGGATCAGGTTGGGTGCTGTTAGTCCCTCTCTTCCCATGAACGCCTCACTTTGCTCTCTCGTTCTTTAGCCGCCCAACGTGCTCCGCTGAGCTGCTTCAGGGAAGTGAACGTTCGAGGCGACCGATGCGGCAACTGTGGCTGGAACGGGACGTATTACACTAAATGTCGAGAAGAGTAAGTGGTGGTTGTTATTAGTAAAAGTATGGCAGTACATAATATGCAGGAGCCAGGCAGGACTGGGGCACCACTCTTGCAAGTGCTGTAAAAGGCAATAAACCAACACATTGCTTCTAAGAGCTTTTTAGCCTGAAATACTTTTGTTGGGATTAATCCCAACAGAGACGCAAAAGGAAAAAGGAGATCAGTAAAAGAAGCACAACTTTTTGTACAACTTGGAGGCTCTGCTAGGCTTTTCTGTTTAGTTTTCATAGATGAAGGAGTGATGTACAAGCATTACTGAGAGTCTACCTGTGTACCAAAGTAGAGAAGGAAAGTGTAGGGCAATAGGAGAAATCTGAGGCAGTGCTTCTTCAGGACAGCTTCTTTTTACAGGTCACTTTAACCCAGAAAGCGATGTGAAGGTAGTTTCCTTTTTACAGAAAAATAGAGAAATTTCCTCTGTGCCTGTCCAGAAGAGCCTTATATCTTTCTATCTGCAAGAAAAAAGAAGAAAACTACAATGTTTATCTTCTCTTCCAATATTAATGGAAGTTCAGAGCATGATTCTTCCCAGTTTCCTCTCCCTCAGTAAGGGGTTATCCCATCATCTGGCCAGGGCTGGGTTTTCCCGTTTGGTTAGATAACTGTTTCTCTTTTTTTCCCTTCAACAGTAATTCCGTTCATGCTGCTGCCAGGGGCCCATTTGCCAGTCAGTACATCTCCAGATAGGGCCTTTTTGTAGACAGGGCAGTCCTTCAGTCTTTGCTCTCATCGTTATCCAAGCCCTCCTCTATGGTCCCATCCTGTGACTAGGACTGCTCAGAATCACCCACGTTTGAGGGTGGGTATGGATAATCATTCAAAGGAAAGAGGGAGATTTACCAAGACCTTAGAGACTTCCTGTCCCTATGCACATCAACAGTCACTCAAAATACCTGATTACTTGTACGTAATCTTTTTTTCACGATTGCAGTTTGACAGTTCACCAAAAGGAGGGGCAGTGCTGTCATTAGAGGAGACACCAGGATGCAATTCCTAAGTCAAGCTTATTCTCTACATCCCTACTGAGCACTACATAGGTGGCACCTGAACTTCATTTGCACCATCTCTGGCCACAGAGATGAGTTTCTGAGCGAACTATACACATTTCTTCCTCGCATAAACATCAGTATTCCCCACACTATGTAAGGAATGGGTAAAACACATGAAAAGTGAGGGTCAGAAATACAAACGGAAGTGTCTCTGCAACTTCCGTGATAGATCTGCTAAGGGTATCTATATAACCCTAGACACCGAGGACAACTGGCATAAAACAGACTGCGACAATGCTTGCCAAGCATCTTAACCTCTGAAAAGGGCTGGCTGCCTGCAAACTGCCTAAAAGGATTGATCCTGGACAGCTCTAACCACAGAAAACGCCCAGGATTGCTCCAAGAGTACGAGCTGGAATGCGCCAAATTTGTACTAGGATGTTCAAACAGGCTTGTTTTTCTACCTCAGGAACATCCTGTGTGGAAGAGTGCAGTGTGTTAACATTAAAAGAATACCAGTCAGGAAAGACGGCGAGACCGTGGTTCAGACTTCTGTGAACAACCATTTATGTTGGGGACTGGAATTTCATCTGCCTTCAGACACACCTGATGATGGATCGGTGAAAGACGGCACAACGTGTGGTAGAAACAAGGTACCCTTAGAAAGCTAGAGGGATATGAGAGTAGTGCAGGACAAAGATTAAATGGAGAGATTTTGTCCCGAAAAATGTCCTCGATCTCAGATATAAGCCCCAAAATGCCTTCTCTTAAAGCCTCCATTAGCTGCTGGAGCACATTGTCTTTTTTTTTTCTTGAACTGAGTGGCTAAGGTAACAACTGCTATTTTTACCACTAGAAGGGAGGAGTGGTTGATTCTCTTCTTCTTGTGAAGCTACCAACCAAGGTCAAAGTTTATTTGTTATGCATATGAAAGAATTTTAAACATTCTTCCAAGAACAGGATTCACTTCTTCTCTTTGATCCGTGCAGTAGACCAAATTCCAATCAAGAAGGTGACATATTTAAGTACCTGTTTCCTGCTATTAACATGGCAGCAAAAATAACTCTAAGAAAAACAGAGGTGCTGAGTTCCACAAAAAGCGTTTTGAAGGAGCTCTTGAGTTTCAATTTCAGTAAAATTCCCCTTCCAGGAGAGGTAGGTCTCATACCACCAACATGAACATTCATTCCCAAAATAACTCACTTGGAAAGCAAGAAGTTGAAAATATATTTCCTCCTTTCTCCTCCTGTGCAGAGGAGACGCTTTTGTGTCTCCTAGAGCTATGAAGATACTCCAAGTCATTCCAAGTTTGAGCAAACAAAACACTTTCTGTAGTCTCAAGGTCTTGTTCATGATACACGGACCGGACAAGACAAGACAGGAGTTCCTGAGCCCCAAACCGCCAGGAGTCAGGAGACCATGCTGGGGAAGTAGCGTTGGACACACAGAGGATAAGAATGATTGTGCACGGTCAGTCCAAAGGCCGTCTAGCCCAGAATCCTCCTCCAGCTTTCAGCAGATACCTACAGAAGCATAAAAACAGAGCAGTCACACAGGATACTGCAATCCAATATTGGTGCAACCTTAAATATTTTCCACTCCAATTATACAGCTCCTGGGCCAGAAGTCATTTCTGTGCATTTTGTAACCCTCAATGGGTTTGTCCAATCTCTCTTTTTTTTTCTATGTACCATTTAAATTCATTTCTTAACTCACCAGGCAGTCTTTCACTACTTTTATCCTACTCACCATCAGTGCTCTTTCCTAGTTGTTGTCATTTTATCATTTCACTCATATAAATGTCTGTTTTTGCAGATATGTTTAAATAGGACATGTGTCAGCACAATGTATCTCAACTATGATTGTACGAAGACAAAATGCAGTGGCAGAGGGGTAAGTAGAAAACACCTAAATATCCTTTGAAAAATACAATATATAAAGTGTAAATTCACATATAGTATCTCAAAAGCAATGTCAAAAGCTCAGAATGGTCTCTGGTTCAACAGCATGGTGTTTATTTTGTTGTTCACCGGTATCTGTCCTCCCAAATTCTGCTCCGACTGTCCCAGCACTCTTAACAGCAGTGTTTATTGGATGTTTTTTTCCATTTTTCTCCTTTGTTCCCTCAAATACTTTAAGAATCAGCTTGCACTTCGTAACTCTTCATCCTTCACTGCGTCCGTTTGTGCTACCGAATTTAAACCAGCTGGAGCTGGACAAAAGATCTTCTAAAAAATACTTCACTTCACTTCCTTTGCAAATACTAAAGAAATGGCAGATTTCATACCACAGTGGCTGTGTTTATTCTTCCATAATACAAACATTTCAGATATTCATATTGGCATAATTATTTCACACATGGATTTGTTATAATTTTACTTTCAGGTTATCTATCCTTCCTTCCGTACAGATATTAATGTAGATGAGCAGAAAGAGCGTCTGGACGCTAGCAGGGATGCTAAGGGAGAATGTTAGGGGAGATTTGCTATCACCCTGCCCTGTATCTGTAATATCCCTAAGAACCAGTAAGAAAAATTACTGTTTCCATTTGTGCTTCTGGTTTTTTGGCTTTATTTATGAAACTAGATTGCTGGCAGTCTCTCAGCTTGTAATTGGAAGGGTCAGAGGACTGCTTTTCTCCTTCTCTGTCACCAGCTGTAGGTGGCTGACTCTGTCAGAAGTTGATGCGCCTGGTAACATAATTCTCGAGGTAGCTGGAATAAACATTTCTTTTTGCTGTCTCCAGTTAGAGAAAGGTTTTGACCTTTCACAAAATTTAAAAAACACATGCGTTATTCCTGGGAAGCATTCCTCCAAATTAAACACATATTCTTGAAATTAATAATTATTGTCCTGCATGGTTTGAGAAGTAGAGCAAATAAGTGAAAAACCTAGCCTCCACCCTATCTCATGCCAAAAAATAACACAGACCTGGACTAACAACAAATAATAGTCAACCAGCCAAGTAGCATCTACTACTAGGGTTAGAGAGGCTCACTTCCGCACTCCTCCTCACTGCATGCCACTGAAGTAGGTTGGCCTCAGGCCCCATAGACCCAGAATCAGGGCTGTAATCTCAAGGGACTTTTTTCATCTGCTCCTGCTCTTCCCCTCTCCCATGCCCGCACTATCTCTCAGCTCCCCAGCCTCACAGACACAGAGGATGCTCCTACTGCTTCCAGGTGCTGCCAAGGAAGCTCAAATCCTGCACCAGTAGTACTAGGTGGCAGAGCTGTGTCCAGGCCCCTCTGCACAAGGGTATCTGGCTTCAGATCGGGTGGCAGGTGGTCCCAGAAGCATGTCAGCTGGAGTGCTGCTTCTCTTGAGCATGGCAGATTGTTGCTGCTTTCAGGGAGAGTCCTCTCCAGCAGAGATGTGGAGTTTCTCTTGGAGGTCCAGCCCCAAAGTTGGGAGTCTACACGGTCAGCCAAGTGATATCAGGCTAAACTGGTCCACAGTGAGGATGGCCAGCAATGCCTCATGAGCGTAACAGGGAGCCCTTCTCCTCTGCTACCCTTTCCAGGCAATTAATGTGTTAGGCCACAGCATGCCGGTCTGCTAGGAACAATGAGTGAGAACTGAGGAACACAGGAACTGGGTAATCTGGCCGGGACATGACAAATAAATGCATAACCAAGGGGGCTGGGATCTCTGTCTTGTAGGAAAAGCCATAATTTTTGAACCACATGAAGGTGACAAATTAGTTGTAGACGTACCTGTGAAATTTTATGTTGTCGTGATAGACCTAGTCATGTTATTCTTTTTTTTTTCATGCCATAAAATATTTCTGTATTCTTTTAGGTGTGCAACAACAAGCGAAATTGTCACTGTAATTTTGGGTGGGCCCCTCCAGACTGCAAACTGGAAGGATTTGGAGGCAGTACTGACAGTGGGCCACCTCCTTCTCTTGACTGTAAGTGCTGTGGAGTGGCACCGTTCTGCACGTCTCACTGCCCTTCTTATTTTTTCTTGGACAAGTTTAGCCATTCTCCACCTATCCTTTCATATCATACGACTTTGTTCACTCATATGACATCACTCAGGCTTCTCTGCCTCCCTTGCCATTTAGTCACGTCTTTTTTGTCTCCGATCTTGTCTTCTTTTTATCATTCAAGTTGTGCTTGTCTTGCCTGAGTCTCATGAGGCTGCTCTCAGGACACCCATATGAACTACAGATGCACTCCATAAAGCACAGGGGCCTAACAGCAAACACAGTTCGTTAAGACAGTTTATGAAGAGTGTCTTATGAGCTCATCAAAACCCTCTTAGAAGAAGCTTCCTCTCCTTTCAACAGAGATCTCCAGCAGAGCTTCAATCCTAAAGAGGACAGGACATAAAAAAATATAATCCTAGTATGGCTTTTTGAGAGGTGCATTTCTTCTGCCTCCCTACGTACTAGGCATTCTAGCTTACTGATTAACAAATTACCATTCACTCACTCACTAGCAGTACTCCACAGACTCATAAGCACCCGACAGCTTTCAGGCTCTTCCCTGTCTCTCTTTGCTTATTTTTTTTGTTACTGAGGAAGAACTATTACATATCTCTGCTGCTCATTTGACCAGTAAAGTGGGAAGCTGCTCAGGCAGTCACGGGCCCACGGGCACTCCAGAAATCTCACTCTTTTGAGCAGGTAACAGTTTACATGACAAATTAACTGTGCTTTACATCTCAATCCATTGTGATATTTCACCTATTTGTGGGCAGGTGATGTTACCCAAAAGGCAGTTCTCTGCTCCTCTCAATTCAAGAGGAAAGCCTAATGCCAAGTTTCAGCCTTTTACTAAGTTCTCCTTAATGGTAGCTCAGGCAAGCTGGGAGGAGTGACCTCTTTCACGCTTTCCGTATGAACTACCTCCCATGCTACCAGACTTGCTTTCCAGCTACCAGGAACGTCCTCAGGATCCTCGGGATTCCCATGCCATGGAATGAATGTGCCATGGCACCAAACCTCCTTGCACAGGGCGTGCGGTGCGCAATCTTGAACTTACACTCATGCTTTTCATAGTTCACACGTTAGGGTTGAGTTTGGCATTCCCGCTGCTGCTTAGCCACATTGCCAACTTACTGATCACTGTGCATAGCTGACTGCTTCCTACTTCTGCAGTCTGTCTGTGCTGTGGCACAGCTCCCTCCTCCATGCCCTTCTTCAGTTCCTGCTACACCATGTGATGCATTTCCCCTTGGTTACCAATTTCTATCACATGTCTAACAAGCACTATCACAGAATCCCAAAATCACAGAACAGTTGGGATTGGAAGGGAACTCTGGAGACCATCTGGTCCAAACTCCCTGCTCAAGCAGGGTCAGCTCAAGCAGGTTGCCCAGGACAGTAGGATTTTGTGCCCAGTAGGGTTTTGAATATCTCCAAGGGTAGAGACCCCGCAGCCTCTCTCCTGTAATGGGTTAATTATTTTATCCATACAATAACTACACATTCAAGGCTCAATCATCAGCAGAAGATGTTCAGTTCATGGTACTTATATTTCACTGCTATAATTGGATATTTCTTCATTTGTGCATCTTCCTCAGGCAACATCATGGGCAGCCTTCCTTCTCGTCTGTTATGTCCTCGGAATCCCTATCATGCAGTCCCAAAGACTCCCTATTTTCAGGCCTGCATAGTGCTACTGTAGCTTCTGCGCTGCATATCGGGATCTGCCTCGAGGCTTATACTGTTTCTCAGAAAGACCAGCACTCTGGCAGCTCCCGACTGGGTGGTGGTGGAGGTACCCTGGAGACCCAGCAGATGGGGAAGGAGTATGCAAGTGCACAACAGCTCATTTGGGGTTGTGAGCGTGTATATTCATGAATATGTGTGCGTGTATGACAAACTGCCATTTCTACTAGCAATGTTTTTGTGCCAGAAATGTCTGGTGTGCACCGAGAGTAATGTTCTCTCTATCTTTTATCCAAGTGGAAGGAGTTGCAAGGAATATGGGAAAAACTTTTGGCGCGCTTCTTTCATTCCTTTTGATCTCGGGCATTTTGCTGTACAAGAGGGCTGACATTGCTCAGCTGTTTCAAAGGTAGGTAAAATTTACATTATTTGGCAAAACTGAGGCACTTCTAACAACTCCTAATCAAGGTTCCCAGCATTTCCTTTCATGAAGTGCTTAACCATGAACCTATCATGTAATGTTGGTCATCCCTCCTGTAAACTAAGTTTCTCTTTTGCTTTTTTAGAGATACAGCCTATAAGGTAACGCAACCAAATGTGCTCTGATTTATGAACAGAGCTTTGTCACAACTGGCTGTAACGCAAAAATGGCAGCTAGGTCCCCTACTATTTTTAATGCAGCAGAAAGTTCTGCTTTTTCTAAATGGCTCCTCTTTATTCTTTTCCAGAGGGTTTATTTTCATTTCTTTATTTTTTACTTTTGTTTTCACCTCTTTTTATTTACTGAAAAATGCAAACAAAAGTTGAAGAAAAATAAAGATTGTAAAATAGTGTGTGGAGGATAAACACTCGCTTATCGTCTTGCTGTTTTGCACATTTGTCCCAGGTCTAATGGGTTTGTAAGCTTAACTGAAATAATATGTGAATATGACTCCAGCCAAGGGAATTATTTAAAATCCAGAACCAGAAAATGAAAGATGACATTCCTCTAGATGATCTCTGCGCATCCACGTACTTGAGATTTGCTGGGTTAATTTATTCCACCAAGAAATAGGATAAACCATATAGAGGTTTGTTCTACTCTGTGCAGCAAGACTGCCTAGCACACAATTTCCTCATTTATAGCCACTTTAATTATCTCTACCCTATGTTACAATCCCCAGAGCAGATATAATAAAATGTTTTCCCCTTAACATAATGATCTTTCATCTCTCTGGTATGTGTTAATCTTAGGTATAGAGACAGGATTGAACTGATTTTATAGTTCCATTTTCTTGTTGTTTTAAATATCCATGTCAGAGAACATGATTTCAAAAAAACACCCACTAATTCTCATAAGGTACTTGTCCATAAACTAGAGCATCTTACTCTGCATGAAATCACTGTCCAAAGTTCACGTTCACTGAACACTTTTACTTTACGTTATAGATGCGGATTTAGAAGACGGAGAACACAAAGTAATACTTCTCCTTCGAAGGAAGTAAGTGGTGTTCTCCCACCCCCTATTTTAGAAAAGACATTCTTGAAGGATTTTGGAAAAATGTGACTTCTCAGTACATTCCTAAAATCTCTATTCTTTCTCAGTAAATCTTGCTCTCCCAGTTCTTTCAGTGCAAGCTGAAAACACTTAGTGAAGACACATCCAAAGAGTACACATACTTAGCACTATACCCGCAGAAAATTGTTCTGTTTCAGGTCAAAAGCCTGTTCAGTGTAGAAATACCAGGTTCATATAAATAGGACTGTATTTAGACTTCTTGCTTCAGGCTATATTCAGATCAGCTTCATGATGCCACAGCTGAAGAAAGCACAAACAAAATACTAGTATTTCTCAGAAAACAAGAATTTTGTCTACTTTGGGAAGGAAGACAGGGAGGCAGACATCGCACGGTTGGGGCCATGAACTGTCAAGCAGAGAGCCAGGTTCAAGTCTCTGCTCTCGTACTGCCACATGGCTTTTCCGTGGTGCCTGCTACTGATTTTGTTCAGCAAGGCTGTCCTGTGCTCAAGGAATTTTACTAATACAAATTATGTCTAAGCTGATGCAGTTTCATTAGTTCAACTTCTTAAAGAAAAAGCTTGCTGGGGAAAAAAAATCTGCCTATTACTGTTGGAAATGCAGAAGAAAACAATAAGGATGTGGACAACAGAAAATACAGTAGAAAAGAAGAGCGGCTAAGGTCTCAGCTGGAGCCATATGTGCAGGCATCAACAGTCCTGAAGGTGTGGGGCCATAGGGCCCAGAAAAGAGCACTGGGCACAGAAGCTCATGGTTTCATTCAGACATTGCTTTTCACATTTATTGTGAAGAGAAGACTGAGAGGCGAGCTGATCAATGTGTACAAGTATCTGAAGGGAGGGTGTCGAGAGGATGGGGCCAGACTCTTCTCCGTGGTGGCCAGCCACAGGACAAGAGGCAACGGGCACAAACTGAGACACAGGAAGGTCCGTCTGAACAGGAGGAAAAACTTCTTTAGTGTGAGGGTGACTGAGCACTGGCACAGGCTGCCCAGAGAGGTTGTGGAATCTCCTTCCCTGGAGATATTCAAAACCTGCCCGGGCGTGATCCTCTGCAATGTGCTCTAGCTGACCCTGCTGGAGCAGGGGAGCTTGGACTACATGATCTCCAGACGTCCCTTCCGACCTCGGCCATTCTGTGATTCTGTGATTGTGGAGAGAACAAAAAATGATGAGACTAAGCTACAAGAGATTTGAGCTAGGAAAAGGGAAAAAATGCTGTATTTCTTTTTGAATAGCACTGAAGAGGTCTACACCATATTTCTGTCTTCACATCTCAGAAAAGTAAACTTAACCAGATAGATAGGAAAATCTACTTGTTTAATAAAAGTGTGGCAGTCATTGTCACAAGATGCCAATGTTCTTAACATAAAGCAGACTGGCCACTTGAACAGATAACAAGATTAAGTGAAGTTCTATCCAAGTATTAGCATAACCGACAAAATAAATGAGAGCAGACTAGAAAAGGTAGTCTAGGAAAGGTATGCTGCATCTGCCATCTCTGCTGTTAATACATCGTGTTGGACTGTAAACAGGTCACAGGAGTCTCGGTGGATCTGATGAAATGCATGTAAATAAATTCTGCTGAGGATAGGCAATATAAGAATTTTACTACAATTTTGCAAATGTTATGAACGGGAAAAGCTGTTAAAGACAGAAAACATGTATCAGATAAGTATATCAGGGAAACAGAGACACCAGAGAAGCTTAGAAACCACAGTCCAGGGAACAGGAGCAAAGAGAGGAGGCACCTTGGTTAAATTTACAGGTGATGTCAAAATCCTGGCCGCAAAATGCAGCAAAGAGTTGGATAGAGGCTTCTTGAACAGTCTAGAGCATGTAACAGTAACATGCAACAGTAACCAGGACATGACAAATTGATCCTTTCCTCTAACAGCCGGCAGTTAAGGGATATACCAGCCACAGCTTGCAGCCACAGAGAGCATTGTGTTTAAAGGTCCTGCTAGACTTAACCCTCCACAAACACGTCCAGTCCCTCTGAACCTACTTATCCTATTGCATCCCCAAGATCCTGCGACTTTCACAATCTCATTATGCATTGTACAACAAAGGACCTCCCCTCTGGAAGTGCAGCGTTCCAAACAATTCAACTGTTCTAGTGTATATTCCTTAAAACTGTAAATGCTGGACCCTGTAATGCTATATGCTAACACAATAACCTCTAATTAAATATGTTGTGATGACCTTAATACTTTATCTTTTCAGATAAATCAAGCCGAGGCAGAGGAAAGTCCTTTTGAGGAGTAAGCCAGAGCAGTGCCTCTTTCCAGGACACAAGACCCCAGAGGGTTGAAAATAGCCTATGGAGCACTTTGAGTGCAGCCTCATGCACCGCTGGCTCTGCAGGAACTGTGCGAAGCCATGCTTTCCAAATCTCTCATACTAGCTTTGTTTCTGTTCAGTTTTAGATGACAATGTTACCTTCAATGAAATAAATAGTTTTTCCTCCTTTTTTTGTTTACTGCAAATATCTATCTTTCTGTTTTCCGGAAGGAGGCTGGATTTCTCCAAGGGTTCCTATCTCTGCTTCCTAAGCGTTTTATGCCTGATCTGGTAGCAGTCTGGATTGTTACTTCATGAGCCTTGCAAACTCTGTATGGCAGGCACAAGAAAGGACGTATCTTGACATTTTGAATTTTTAAGGCTGAGCATGGCAATTTGTGCATCTAGAACAACTGGCTGCATACACACAACCCTGAGAATCCTCGTCTGTGGTCAAGGCATGCTCATCGCTATGTACTGACCGTACCTAAAAGGAAGCATGCACTGCCAGGATGAGTGGCAATCAAACTGCTTGGGACTCCTTACTTTCCTCCTTTAGACTTGTTGATGGACAGTGCACCTCCCTGATCCCTCCTGCCTGCTTCCTGCAGATACAGCCAGCACCAACACAGGAGAACACGTGAAAGAAAGAGCAGCTGCACCATTTCTTTGACTCCTTACACATAAAAGGACCAAACAACCCCCCGCTCCCCAAAAAAGAATATTGTGTTTCTGTTTGAAACACTCATCCATGAACACACTGAGCCATGGGGGGGTGGGTCTGGATTTCAGAGTCACGTCAGAGGATGAGGTTTGATGGGCTCTTTGGCCATACAAACGTCCACAAGGTCTGTGTTCAAAAGCTGAATGCCAACAAAGAATGTGAAAGAAAATGTTTTATCTGCACTTGAGCCACAAAGACTGCGTTTTCCGTAAAGATCAGACAGAGATTCCAGGCATTCTTGGCAGCAATTCCCTTTCCAACTTACTTTCAGCTCATCTTCTCCAAAAGAGCACGGAAGATGCCTTTGGCTCAAAACAGTTAACTCCAAGACATAGTCTTGGAGAACTGGTTACAGGCATAAGATAGAAACGGCTTTGATTTCTCATCATCACTATAGAGAGGGTACACTAGGTACAAAGCCTCTTCTGCATGCCAGTAGACAACACGAGTAGCTTGGATTTCTAAGTTACTGCAAGCTAAGCAGAGGCTGTTGGATCAAGAGGAGGAGGGGTTTTGCAAAACTCTCGTTGTGCAGAAAACATTTTTCCAGCAGAAAGAAAGACAGTACAAAATTCATGTACTTGGTATTAATAATGGACTAGAACACAACAACCTTCAATTCCAGCCCATGTGCTACAGCATCACAGCAGCCACTATTTCATCAGCCGGTCTGCCTTGATGAACTACCATCCTGTAGCCCAATGAGCACGCTGGGACAGAAAGGTGGTCGCCACACAGACTGTGTTCCTGAGCAAAGCATATAAAGATATATACATATGTGTGTATGTTCTTTTAATTTTCAGCTTTTTCTTCTCCCAAATTCTCCAGACACTTCTTTTCATGGAAGGAGCTCCCACTCAAAAAACCTTGTTTCACCCTCCCATATCTTCTCATACCAGCACCTGACCTCTCTGTGTATCTGCCTTTCCATCTCTAAAACGGAGATCATCGATGACTGCAGTGGAAATGCCATAGCCTCAGAGTAGGATTTTGCTTGCAGGGAGGTCCTGGAAACACCACCGTACACCACCCTCTCCCTGATCCTCCTTGTCATGTCACAGTGACTGGCACTCTCTGGGCCAGAGTGAAATATTCCCTCACAATCTGAAACTTGGTCCTAAAGGTGTGGGGGCAACCAGCCTGCAAGAGAGGGAGGTCTACCAAACTTTCCAATAATTCATCTATCGAACTTTGAAGCTTACCAAAAATATACAAGGCATGATCACTTATGGTGTGCTGCCCATAGGAACACGGAACAACACTGAACATCTGCAGTCTGAGAAACAGCTCATTCCAGCACATATCTCATCATACCCCTCAAAGAAGCAGTACTGATCATCACCTCTACCGTCCCAACAACAATGAGATACTCAAGAACTTCTTCATCAGATAATGGATGTTCTTAAGATCTTGGTAGATACTGCATAGGAAGAAGTTCTTCAAGTGCTGGGTAAACTGTACAAATCAGCATCCAAGAAATTAGGTTTCTCCTCTTATTTGAAGACATTGGAGCAAGAGAAACAACGGAAAACAAATACTAGCTCTCATCTACATTCAGAGATCTCATACACTTCCAGTCCCAGACACCTCAGTTAACAGCTCCTCAGACCATTTTGTCTTAGACATCATCTCTGTGAAGCACACTAGACTGTCTCAAAATTTCCTTATTTCCCATTCTCCTTCTCCACGTGCCTATTGGGAACTCTGTGGCAATGAATTACAGCAGAATACAATGGACTCACTTCTGTTTCTTGGAGAAATACAGATGACTCCCTCATTTAGAGTGAATGGATTTTTTTCTACATTAGGGGCTGGCATCTAACACAAAATCGAGGAGGTCTGGGCCTTCACCCATAAATTCAGGAATGGTAAGGTCAGCCTTCACTAATTTCACTCTTCAAGGCTGAGCAATACACTTTCAAAAGCTCACCCATCATACAAAAAGTCGCTGAAAATCCATCTAGCATAATTTCTTTGATGAACACTGTGTCTTTTCTCCAGTCTTTCACTGACTCCAAGAGTTTTCAGCAAGCTTTCAGCAGCAGTAGTCACTCATCCCAGCAGACTGTAATATGGCCATACCTCAGTAGCTGGTTAATTGAAGAGAAGCTGCAAAGGACTATCATCTTCTGCATCTCTGCACAGGAAAATGCCTGTCATCAGACAATCCCATGCTCACATGGACTGCGTTTATACTCAGATTCTCTTCCACTCCTGAGTTACCCCGTAAACAGCTAGACCTCAAGAGCTGCTAATTATGCTTTCGTAGTATTTAATCCTACCTGTGAGAGCCGACAACTTAGTCCCTTGCTATTCTGCTTCTGAGCTTCAAGAGCTGACACACAGTTTCGCAGAGCAGACCTGCAGTCTTTATTCAGTCTCTTCCGATCTGAAGCAAGGTCATTGCTTCAGAACTACCAAAACTGGAACACGTGTAGATCACACTTCTACAACTGAAGAAAGGGTAACTTACCCTGAAACAACGATGGTTTTTGAGGACTCTCCTCCTTTTATACCCCATTACTGAAGAGCAGCAGACTGCAAAGTCAACTATGTCACCCTATCAGTTTTTGGGGAAGGAGGATGGCACACAGGACTTGAGCTCTTGAGAGCTATCTACCCCAGAGGTGGACTATATGAGGAAACCATTACCTGAAAGCATGGTAAGTTATTTTCTTCTTCTGAGCTTCTCCAAATGAATGAAGGCTGCTGCAGTGGGCAGTGTTAGCATCCAGGAGGAACACCCTGCACACTTTGAACAAGTGGGATGGCAACATATCTTCCTCTACACATCTTTATGGGGCTGCAATACTGCAAAACCCATGTCTCCTGTGCATACACATACATGCACTCCACATGGGGATGGATTTCAGCTTGTGTGGAAAAACTACAGTGAAGTAAGTCCAAATAATGTTCTGTGTCTGTCCCTTTTCAAGTTTCTGAGGGTGGCTGAGCTATAGAAATAGTAACTGGAAATATTATTTTTATCCTTGTGACTAACCGCTGTGTAACATTCAGACTGAAGTCTACTCAGATATCCAGGAGGCAAGTAAGATTTCATTCCATTTAAAGACTGTGTCAGAGTTCTCATACTCATTGCATTGTTTCCACTCCTAGCTCCTTCAGTTTCCTTTCCCAACCTACACGTCTACAAGGTCACCCAAAAACAGATATAACGCTAAGCAAGTGGGCAGAGAGCAGCAACTAAGAGAGTCTGGAGTCTCCTCCTCCTTGCCAGGCTCTCCTCCTGCACAGATTCTGCTGTAGAAAACCTACCTCAAACGAATGTTTTTGAGTATTCTGAATATATATTGCAAAAACACAGCTTAGACTGCTCCTATTATTCCAGCTCTATGGCAATTGTTTCCACATTCACCCTTTCCTCTTCAAAATGTTGAGATTAAAATATTCTTTTCAGGACAAGATTGTGAAAAAGCCCTAGAATGTTGTTCTCGTCATCCAGACCTCAGCACCTGAAAAAGGCCCTGCATTGTTCATAATATTGGAGGGCTTTTACTCTTTTCTCACACTTCTCAAATTTGCTCCTTTAGTCCACTGGAAAGCTAAAGAAAAGATAAAATAAAAGGTGATAATGTGGGGAGAAAAACATTTTCCTGTGCTCTGCTCCACCTGGTATCCACAGCGTCCAGTCATTGTCCTCACTGCTCTGCTCTGTGCTCCCTTTCCTGTAATAGCAGTCATCAACAGGAGATCATTTCCAGACATTTGTCATCACATCCTAAACACGTCCATGGAGTTTAGTGGACTTCAGTGAGCCAAACCACAGCTCACTGCCAAATGGAGGCAGTCTGGCTCCCACCCCTTCCGCTGCCATTTGTCCTTCTCTCTGCTCTCATGTCCTGCTGTAGGCTCCCCTTGTGCTGATTCGGGCGCTTGTCCCTCTCGGGCTAAGCTTACGTCCTGCTATTAATGCACGCAGATGAGAAGAGAGTTAAAGGGAGAAGGTGACGAAGGGCTGACTCTGAGTTGGATGGAAGCCCTGAGCCCACTGAATGCCACATCCTTCTGTACTCTGAAATGCAGCTGGTACTGCCACAACTGTCTTCGTGGCTCATCGCAGCATGCCTTCCAGGTCTCAAGGCTCCTGGTGAGAGTCTATCCTCCTGCCCACGGCTCTGAGAGCAAACCTTTGAGTAGCTGTAGGAACTACTTAACTTTCCTAGGTCAGTTTTCCTTCCCTCTGCAGTCTTCCACAGCAGAGACCCTTCTCTGGCATCTGAGGAGACTCTATGGGACTTTTCTCTTAACTGAGCCTCAGCTGCGAACCCATCCCACTAGGGATTAAAAGTCACACAACAGGCAGTGGAAATGCCAGAGATGGAGAGGGCAACAGTAACACTTCCACACCACCATTGCCTGCTGCTGCCAGTTACTCCAGGTGAAAAAGCGATAAATGCATGCCGTTTGGCTTAACCTGATGTACAGAAAGACTATTGTGTGGTTACACGCTTCATTAAATGGGTCATCACATAACACCTCCAATTTCAGACATTGCAACAAGCACATTTTTTACATCTAAAAACATATAAGGCATCCCAGTCTGTTTGATTCAGCTTCTTCACAAGATGCTTACTCAATACTGTTTACTTTTGAATCACAGTATATAAAAAGAATGGGTAAAAAGAGGTTCTTCAGACACTGCAGAAGCAGTGAGTGTATTTCAGACTGATGAGCTATTTTGCAAAAAATGAGATAATGAGATATGAATACTTTTTCCTCTGTACACGAGAATTCTCGCCACCCTTTTTCTGAACAGTTGTAATGCTGAAATATCTTGAGGTCACAAAGCAAAAGATGTCAGGAACGTAGCTACCGGCAAGGAGAAGTGCTTTATATGTCTACCAGCTCCAGTTACTGCCTCCAGAGCAGAGCGCGGCCACCCAGCTGTCGGCTCTGCTACACGAAGGAAGGAGTTTGGCTTTCTGCCCTTGTTTTCTCAGCATTTCCTCCTCCATCCCTGGTTTTGCTTTTGCTTCTCACTCACTTCCTCTTGACAGCCCTTAAGGGCCCTGAGCACAGAGATTAGACAGCACAGCCTAAGGCTGAAGAACTGCTGTCCTCCACAACGTCCTACCATCCTACCGTCTCTCCGAGCAATTCAAAGCACCCAGAAACGGCCCTAGTACACTGTCCAATGCCTCTTCCCCCTCTCTGACAACTTTCCCAGTTGTCAGTTTTCCCCTGACATTGACAGCACGCTGAAAGGTGAGGGGAAAACAGACAGAACTGGATGTCAGATAACACAGGGGACGCAGCACGGATTAAGAGATTCACGGTCAGACGTAATTCTGCAGAAACCGTCATTTTTCCTCGGAAGCCGTAGGCTGCCACCTTGCAGCGTTACAGAAAATAGACCCAGCTTGCCTCGCAGCGCCGTGCACGCCAGCTAAACCCTGGCCGGAAGACAGAAAAGGCACAATATGCTGGATACCCAACCAATTTCAAATCATCGCTGTTGACCCTGGCGTGCCACTGTTAGGATAGGGGGGCCCACAGCTGGAAGCAAGCTAGCAGGACCGGTCCGTCATCACCTGCCCAAACATAGGCGGGGGAAAAGCGGGTGACAGCATACGCGGGTGCGGGCAAAGGCACCAAACTGACAGATTAAGAGTGGTTATCTCCTGCTGCAAACATCAGGCCCAGCCCCATAATCTTAATTTCAACAGCGTCCTCTCGGCAGGGGACTCTGAAGCCTACGTGATGGTCTCACCTACAGGAGACCTGTCAGCAAAATAGTGAAGCGCTCAAGAGCGACGGGTTGCCAAAAAGAAGACAAAAAAGGGAACTGGTAGGTAAGCATCATGTTATATATGGAGGTATAAACGCAGAAGTAAGGCTGGCTTCGCGATTTTTGAAGGCTTGGAGGTTCCTGGGTTTGGTGGATATTATCTCCGGGCGGAGGGAGCGCACGTAAACCGCTATCACTCGCGTTGTACGCTATCACTCGCGCTGTACGTTATCACTCGCGCTGTACGTAGGAGTTTTTCCGACGGCTCTGCTGCACCGTTACTTGCTTTTCAACCCTCTGAACGTCACACGTGAAAGGGGCCCGAAGAAAACGCTGCACCACGACGGCCTGCCGGGGGCCACGCGCTTCACACCGCCCGGTCACCGCCGCGCTGAGGAGCCGGGCGGCTGTTTCCAGAAGAACAACGCGCCTTGCACCACCACCACCATCACCCCGGCCGGTTTTTCCCTC